CATAGCTGAGTTAGTCACACTGCCTCACCTCTGAGTCAGAAGAAGTTCATTTCTCCTTCTGGAGATCTGAGCGCAGAAATCTAATACTGAAAGACTGCAGTACTGCCAGAGGTGCAATTTTTCAGATGAGATGTTAAACCAGCTAACTCAGGCAGATACAAAAGATCACTCAGCACAGTAACAGGGCAGTTACCTCCTGGTGGTGTACTGACTATTATTCGTCTCTCATTATAACTGACCAACATTATTGCGTTGCTGTTTGTGGGGGTATGCTGTGCGCATAGTGGCTTTCTGCATTACAACACTGATTACACTTCAAAGGGCTATAAAGCACTTTAATGACAATCTGAGATTGTGAAAGTTACTATATTAGATACAAGTCTTTTTTCATTAGCAAGAGACATAGTGAATTGAAGGGAACACATGACTTTGAATTCCTATTCATTGAAAATAGCAAAACTTGGAATAGGAGAATTTGAGAAGGATACTTTTATAACAACAAACTTTGTCAAAAAGGAATGAAATATATTCTATAATTTTTCAAGAAAGCTTATCTTCAGTACCTAAATGCAAGAACATAAACATTTTTAACAGTGCATTTAATTTAGTGAACATCCCAAGGTACTTTATAGCAGTGTCAAAACAAAATTTAACATTATGCCATATAAGGTGACATTAAGGTATGTAGGTTACAGAGCTAGGAAAACAAGTGTCGTAAAGATAGAGAGAGAGAGAGAGATAAAGGTGGAGGTGTTCAGGGAGAGATTTGCAGAGCTTATGGTCTGAGCAGTTGAAGGCAAGGCTATAAATGGTGTAGCATTAAAAATCACAGATGTGCACAAGGGCAGAACTGGAGGAATGAATAAATCTTGCAGGCTTGTGCTGCTGCAGGTCATTGCTAAGTTAAAGGAGCTACATGGCCATGGATGGATTTGGAAAATAAATGCATGAGAATTTTAATATCAAGACATTGCCAGACCAAAAGTCAGTGCAGGTCAGTGAATACAGGAGTGATGGTCGGTGGACTGGACTCGATGCGAGTTAGGGTACAAGCAGCATGTATTTGGATGAGCCAAGTTTATGGACAGTGTTGTAACACCTTTTAAAACATAACTGATGATATTTCCTGAACTTTAGGCTGTAAGATACAGTGATAGCCTGTGCTAATACTTAGGGTTGTATACCGTGTTTCCAATTGTAAATTACTGGAATGACTCAGTAGGTCAAATAGCATCCAAGGACAAAGAAGAGAATTGAAATGAAACAATGGACCAGATTTTCACAGTTAGATAAATTCTGGAGACCTTTACGAATGGCAGTTGCATGCTGGATGTGCAATTCCCACCCCCCATTTTCCAAAATATCCTGTCGTTGCCAGAAGGGGAAAGGGATTGAGGTGTGAATCTCACAGGCAGTAAACCCGAACTCAGCTGGACCATTTCAAATTCACGTTGAGTTCAAGCAGGCCCCATTCTACCTGTTCTAAGTGTCTAGATCCACAGTGTAGGAATGACAAAATTTATGAAGGAGGTGTAAATGCTCTCGAACGGCAGACAGGGTCTTTTCAAATGTCATGACCTGAAATTACTTAAAACCCCACCCTATGAAACAAAGAAAAAGGCTGTAGCTATTACAGTGATAAAAATAACACCTGCTATGTGAATGTGTTGATTGAAAGGTCACCGAGCAAAGCATAGAAAAAGTGATATGTTCTTGCATCTTCAGTAGACTTCATTCATGACATTTCCCAAGGGCTGTTATTATAGCTAAGCATATTATGTGCTTGGCCAAGTTTCAAGAGCTCCAACATCAGTGATCTTTGCAGGGGGTGATAAGTTCATATTTTGATTGACAGCTTTAAGAGTCCATTGAAGGATGTCCTTGATGTGCTTAACAAATATAAATTTGTTTTTATGACAGATTGATCATTTGTTGGGATTTAAAATCTTTGAATGGGAATTCATGAATTAAAGTTTCTTACTGTATCAAGTGTGTATGAACGAAGGCTCTTTTTAGACATTTATTTTTTATTGCCTCCACTTGGCTCCTGAGATCTGCCCCAGACAATATTGAGTGTAAAATGACAGAGGTGGCATGGGGGATATGAGGAGGCAGGGAATGTATGAGGGATATGAAATGACATGAGTTGGGCTGAGAGTGCCTAATAGATTTTAATAAAACTGGGCCAAAGTCTCGGGATAACAAGGTGTAGAGCTGGATGAACACTGCAGGCCAAGCAGCATCAGAGGAGCAGGAAGGCTGACGTTTCAGGCCTAGAACCTTCTTCAG